TCCTTCCTTCCTTCCTTCCTTCCTTCCTTCCTTCCTTCCTTCCTTCCATCCATCCATCCATCTATCCATCCATCCATCCATCCATCCATCCATCCATCCATCCATGGTGCACAGTGGTTAGAGTGCAGCACTGTAGCCTACTTCTCCTTCCCAAGCAATAGCAGACTTATATACCGCTTGACAGCCCTCTCTAAGCAGTTCACAGAGTCAGCTTATTGGCCCCAACCATCTAGGTCCTCATTTTACCCACCTTGGAAGGATGGAAGTTTGAGTTAATCTTGAGCCGGTCAGGATCGAACTCCTAGCAGTGGATAAAGTCTGCCTGCAGTACTAAATTTTAACCACTGCACCACCAGGAAGAAGAATCAGAAAGAGGGAATGAGGGAGGGAGGGAGGAAGGAAGGAAGGAAAGAAAGAAAAAAAGAAAGAAAAAGAAAGAAAAAGAAAGAAAAAGAAAGAAAGAGTAGCAATAGTACTTAGACTACCACCAATTTTCGCTGAAATGGAGCCCCAAATTTATGTTGCTAAGCAATGGATTTGTTAAGTGAGCTTTGGCCCATTTTATGACTTTTCTTGTGACAGTTGTTAAGTGAATCACTGCAGGTGATAAGTTTGTCACATGGTTGTTAAGCGAATCCGGCTCCCCCATTGGCTTGTCACGTCAGAAAGTCTCAACAGGGGATCGCGTGACCTTGGGACATCCCATCCTAACTAGGAGCCCACTTGCCCTGTGCCTGGATTTTGGTCAGGTGATGCCGCCAAAGTTGTAGCCGTGAAAAAACGGTCATAGGTTGTCCTTTCTCGGTGCCGTTGTAACTTTGAACGGACACTAAGTGAGCTGTTGTAAGTCAAGGACTACCTGTATTTCCTTTTTCACACAATTATATATATAAAAATAGGGAGGCACACCCCCAACTTTTCTGATCAGAGCAGAGCCCAAAATAGAGCAAGGTTGAAGAATCACCAAATGTCTGCCTGTCTGTCTCTTTTTCTCTCTCTCCCTTTCTCTTTCTCCCCTTCCGTCTCTCTCCTTCCCCTCTTTCTCTTTCTCTCTCCCCCTTTCTCACTCTTTCTCCCCCTCCCTCCATCTTTCTCTTTTTCCTTCTCCCCCTTCACCTTCTCTTTCTCCTTCTTCTCCTTCTCTCTTTCTCTCCTTCCCTCCATCACTCTTTCTCCTTCCCCCTCTATTTCTCTTTCTCTTCCTCTCCCCCTCTCACTGTCTTTCTCCCCCTCCCTGTTTCTCTTTCCCTCTCCCCTTCACCTTTCTGCTTCTTCTCCTTCTCTTTCTCTCTCTCCCTCCATCTCTCTTTCTCCTTCCACTCTCTCTTTCTCTCTCACTCTTCCTCCTTTCTCACTCTCTCCCCTCCCTCCATCTTTCTCTCTTTTCCCTCCCCTCTCCCCCTTTCACCTTCTCCTTCTTTTTCCTCTTTCTTTTCCTCCCCCCTTTTCACACACTCTTCCTCCCTCCCTCTCCCTCCCTCCCTCCAACTTTCTTTTTCCTTCTCCCCTTCCCCCCTTTCTCCTTCTTTCTCCTTCTCTTTCTCTTTCCCTCCCCCTCTTTTCACACTTTCTTTCTCCCCCTCCTTCCCTCCAATCGACCTAAGGAGAAAAGCACTGTACTCCCTCCATCTTTCTTTTTCCCTCTCCCTCTCCCCCTTTCTCCTTCTCCTTCTTTTTCTCTTTCTCTTTCTCTCTCCTTTGCAAGAATGTTTGCAAGACACAGAGAGATCTCTGAGGATGCAGTGTTTTTGCTATCGCATACATGTTGTGGAATTTATATTTTCCATCTCGATTGCAGGTTGCTGTTTGTTTAGCAATGGGGAAAAGAAAAAAAAGACTTGGGTTGAAGTGCCACTTATAGTTTTAATCACCTGTAAAGCTTTTAGCATGCAGACAGAAGAAGACAGCGTAAAGGGATATGCTAAAAGCTTTCTAAGTGGTGCAATGTTGCAGTTCAAGAATCCTGTGTACTGCCATAGCATGCTCATTGGATTTGCTTTGGGATACAGGGAGTCAGCGTGGCCCTCTCAAAATATGGAGTCAGCGTGGCCCTCTCAAAATATGGTAGCACTAGCATGGTAGAAATTTTGGGGGCTTCAACCACGGGGAGTCTTGCTGGAGATGATTGATGGGTGACAGATCCCCTCTGGCCCTCCCTCTTGTGCACCCTACCCTCTCCATCTTTTAGTAATAAGTTGTATTTTTATTGTTATTAAACACACATACCTTTTATGGTTTTGTTGCTTTTAACATTGTAAGCGGACCAGAGTTGCCTTGCGGACAGCAATCAAATCAGGTAGATAGGTAGGTAGGCAGGCAGGCAATCAGGCAATAGAGATGGATAGATAGACAGACAGACAGACAGACAGACAGACAGACAGACAGACAGAAGATAAGAGATAGACAGGCATAAGATAGATAGATAGAAGATAGAGATAGAGAGACAGAAGATAGAAATAGACAATAGGGATAGATAGACAGATAGAAGAGATAGATAGATAGATAGACATAGATAGATAGATAGATAGATAGATAGATAGATAGACAGATAGACA